TCTCTCTCTCTCTCTCTCTCTCTCTCTCTCTCTCTCTCTCTCTCTCTCTCTCTCTCCAGTTGCGCGCCCATGCGTGCGCATGGTGTGAGAGAACGACACTCTCGGTATTGGCTGTAGCAGACTGTTTCCAAAGACGCACTCTTGCTCATCTGTGTGCATATGTGTGCCTTTGTGCCTCTTTGCTCGCCTCTGTGCCACGTGCTGGGCTATCTATACATGGCTGCTGCCGAAAATGATGCTGTCACATACTCATGCATTGGACTTCACCGTTATATCAATGCGTTCTTTGATCACCTGTTTACGCATGTGCGTACCGCGCGCCCGAGTGCGTGCGTGCGTGCGTATCTGAGAAAGTTGTGTGTTTGAAGTGCGTGCGTGCGTGCGTGCGATCCACACGCAGTTGTGTGTTTGAAGTGCGTGCGTGCGTGCGTGCGATCCCATGCGTGTGGCCTTGTCTATTTCTACGTCTTCATCAAACACAACGACAAGAGAGAGAGAGAGAGAGAGAGAGAGAGAGAGAGAGAGAGAGAGAGAGAGAGAGAGAGAGAGAGAGAGAGAGAGAGACGCAGACTACCTTTCTGACAGTCTCTCGTCAACGATGAGGAAAGCTGGTCCCATTAGAGAAATCGGACGGCGTACCTGACATGGAGGCTATAACAGACCAACGTTGCATGGTGGAATCGATCATCAGTGCCGACGTGGCAGAATCAGCAGGGGCTTTCAGCAGCGCCCTCGACGGGGAAAAGAAGACAGATCCAGAGCATCCCAGATGGGTACGTGTCTCGCTCCTACGAGCATTTCCATTCGTACGCTTTGCGCCTGTCACACCTGCTGCAGAGCTTATAACTGGTGCCGCACAGCCACTGGCCATCGCCGCCCCCGCCATCGCCACCTTCCTTCACGTCCCTGCTAACGGCGAGAGCACACAACTCTCCGTCTCCTCTGCCTGCCTCTACTCTCCTTCCCGAAGTCACTCTCTCTCTCTCGCGCGCGCGCGTATTGGGAATCCGGCACAGCGGATCAGATTCCCTGCGGCTTTGGCCCGCCTACGAGGAAATCCGCCAAGATTTCGCCCGACGGACGGAAGGGAGGTGACGTGTACCGTCGGTACCCTGTGGTCACTCTCTTTTTAAAAGGGAGAGGGGGGGGAGGAACTGTGGTCACTCCTATGTGTCCTCTTCTTTTCTTTTTTCTTTTTTTTAATTGGGTGCATTTCTTCTTTTTCTTGTGCTTTTTTTTGTGTAAAGTTGCAATAAGCCCCTAAAAGATGAAAAAAATCCTAGTTGCCCCCAAAAAGATGAAGCTAGAGCATATTGCCCTTTGGCACAATATTCTTTTTTGTTATACCCCTGTCAAGCAGGTGCACAAATTTGCGCCCTGCCCCTCTACCCAGATAACCCATTGGGCCCTTAAAAAGCCCGCAAGTACTGGGGTATTCTAAAACCTCGGGCCACTACCAAGTTGGCATCCAACGCGCAAGGTATTTCACAAATTCAGGCAATGGTGAGAAGGGCATTCCAATCTACCCACATATTTCAGGGGTATTCTAAATTTTTTCTCAGCTTTTAGGCCTATATCGCAAAATTTCCCTTTTTTTTTTTTTTTTTCCAAAAGGAATCTGCTGAGTCTCTCTTTTTTTTTTTTTTTCCTGCTGGAAACCGGGTCCAGCGTCCCTTAAATACATCTTTGCGAAACAGTACAGCTTGAAAGTGACGCCATTGTGCTGGAAATCGGGTCCAGTGTCCCATATCCAATCTGCTCTTCCATACCTATCCTGCCGCAGGGTCGGGTATTGGGGGGAGAAACMCCGGGGGGCACCAGTGGAGTCTCCCTCCCTCCCCTAGCCTTTGCCATCCACCTACTATCCTCATGGCGCCTATTGTGTCTTTGCACTCCGCAGTAGCATGTGTTTTGAAAAAAGTTGAAGCAAGAGAAAAAGGTTGAAATGAGCTGCACTGAAATCAGCTGAAATCAACTGACATTTAACTGAAGTATACTGAACCTGCTGGAAACCGGGTCCAGCGTCCCTTAAATGCTACTTTATAAACAATCATCTTTTTGAAGTGACGTGTGCTGGAAACCGGGTCCTATTAACCGATTCAAGAGAAGTAGAGAGGGTAGCAGAAATAGGAAAAGAAAATGGAAGACAGAGAACCGGAGGTCTCATGCAACCGGTAGTATTTTTGCTAAGGACAGCGGGTGAGGTGGGAAGGGGTCTGCGAAGTCCTGAGCAGGTCGTAGCAGGGTGTCGGGATCAATCTTGGTCCAATCGTGAAAGATCAGCTGTTAGTCTCTTACTATCTCTGTCCGGGGTTCTCCCTACGATTCCCTAGTGAGAAATTTTATTGACGTATGATGACCAATTGAGGTTGGGAACCTCACAATTCTGCCTGGGACAAAGACGCATCCTGGGGCCTTACGGGCCTTAGGGCACTTCAGCTCTGCTGGAAAACAGGTCCAAAGTTCCCATAATTGTCACCTGGGACTTCTGCAAAAATACAACTGAAAAACAGGAAGAGGTAATACAACAATTGGCTTTGTATCTTTCAGATTTTCATCACACCAGCCTCTACCGTCTTCACCCGAACACAACGTATAATCCTTATAGCTATATTTTGGGCAACTTTGAGTCTAGAAACAACAATAATAACTGTACGTTGTATTTGGTTGAAGAGGGTAAGATCATAACACCAACCTTCTTCCTATCCTTCCCCCTACTCCCTTGCTATCTACTCTTCACTTCCTACTCCCCCCCACGATGTACCTCTTCTTATTTATAAACTACATCATAGCTATCATTCCACCTCGTTCTGGGCTACCCCCACCCCCCAAGCCGCTATCAGTGCACTATCCCTTATGGTAGAACCTCGTCGAGCCAACAACCATACCCCAAAGGGAAGCCGACATTTCGGATCCAACGAGACCAGTTGGGCCTCTTACGACTGTGTCTAAAACCACATTCTATTTTCGAATGTTTGACCTTTCTTACTTTGGTTCGTGTGATTTGTGTGCGATGTTGGTCTTGACTACCACATTCGACATGAATTTTTTTGAAACAATGGACCATTATTGTCATCCCATATCAACTTCACGAGGATTGTGCGTATTATACATTTATTCATTTTCAAGGGTCCCACCCCTTAGGAGACCCCCTCCCACCCTTCCTCTCATCAATTCTCCGAGTCTTTGTGCAACATACACCCATCCCCTCTTTGTTAGTTACCAGAGGGTAAAAGTCCTTAGCAATACCCATTCATCATCCCACTTGAATTTCCCCTTTATAAAAAAAGGGAAGCAACCTTGATATATCATCATGGAATGGACTGTTCCCTGGTAAATTCGAAGTTAATATAAACTCAACTGATTCTGTAAAAATTTTAAGTGAGGTCTACATCCTAACATTTTATGGGTATACCAACTAAGCTAGGTCAGTTGGTTCAATGGCAAACCCGCGATTCCCAATACCATTTGAGATGCAAGGCATGTCAGCCAAAGATGTTTGTCAGTACCTATATCTACTGCAGGATATAGCAATCTCATGCCTTTATTTACCAACAACATTGTCAAGTTCATAGCAACAAACATTTGCAACCACATAATGCTTCTCCCTTTTTGTGAGGGGAGGAGTTTAAGTTGCTCATAGACGAGGAGAATTTGCTCAGAACCAACCTAAAACGAAATTTACAGGCGATCGAGCTATCGGCATCGCTCTATCATCGAAGTTGGAGGATTGATATTGACTTTCCTTCGCAGTATGTCAGTCCGTACTTTGGGTGAATATTATTTTCTTGTCACCACTGACTAAGTCAGAGTACCGTCCTATTAACTCGTATTCAATAAGCATACTGATTGAAGATCATGCAACTTTCTTTCTTCTATCAGAAGAATTTGTTTTTTTATTAGCTAAACCTTTTCTGCAGGTGGTCCCTGTCCTCCTTTAACCACGACTTCTTTCAAGTACAAACGTAGCGTGCTCCCTCCCTCGATCGTATCTACATTTCTCTCTATTACTGCAACTTTTCAGAGTAGGCTACCGTCCACATATATTGGCTTCTTACGAATGTGTACTTTTAGGTTTGACTCGAACATTGCGATAGTTTACTCCATAGCCTTTATCTCTATCCCAAAATGAATGTCTGGATTTTCACCTCGAGCCCAACGATTGACCAAAATACATGATGTTGGAATAGGGTAATTTCTCAGCATAAAGTATACAAGTTTGCAGAAACTTTTTGAATAAAATGTTACATGTGCCCTATTAATTATATGACATGAAGACATCAAGAGATGATTGGCAAAAATCAGCTTTAGTTAGAGCACAGAAGAATATTATCGTGAGTAAAACATGTATCTATGATGCATAATCAATGAGCACATTGCAAGACGTTAGGGAAAATCCCATACTAATTTCATATAATTGAATATACACATGAAAATCAATATCACCACCCTTCGAGCAACCCGTGAAGAGAGTAACCCCTACCCAATACCGTTCATAATCTAGCAACTCTTCCTTTACCAGTTTTTGCTGCTCCACTATTGGTTTTTGCTCTAAAGTTTGAGACCTTCTCCCATGACTATAAGACGTGATTCTCAATTATGTCTCTTATTCTCAAGATTTTATTTTTCCATTTAGTTGGAGTTGAAATCTGGGTACACCAGGTCATGGTAGTATGTGTATTACTAACCTACGTAGCATCGTGTTCACGTTCGGAGGCGAGCGCGAACAAGCGTCCAAAACCCTCCGAACACGGACATAAAAAAAAAAAAAAGTTCTCAGAAAAATATGAAAAATATATATGTTATGTAAAATAACAATACAAGCAACTTTTTTCATGGAGACATGTTCAAATTCTTAGCCAATCATGAGTTAAAAATCAAAAACCGAAAAAAAAAAATGTTGTTTATTTAAATATATATATCGTCACAAACAGAACTGTCCGGTAAACCGTAGAAAAGGACAACAAACGAGGGGTTGTGACAAACTGTTTCGTCGGAGTTTCATATGTTCACCCGAACATGTTCACTAGCTGTTCATGCGAACGTGAAGGGGTGCGAACACGTTCGCCTTGCTACGCAGGTACTAACAATGTTGGAGTGAACTAAAATTCACATCTGCACGTCGGTTCAATTTCATCCCAGCTCACTTTACCTTGTGGTATCTGTTCTTATTTAAGATCAATAGGTTGTAAGTCTAATTTATGGAGTAAGCAATTTTGTTTCATTTATGAGCTTGAACTTGCTCTTGGAGGTAATTGGTGAAAATTAGCTTTCACACAACATGCTTTGAGCTTACAGGAAATTGTACCTGTGATGGTCGGCATGCAGTCCCCTTAAGTTTGTCTTAATGGGGAGGAGGGGTACGTTTGGTTGAAATTGAGTATGGGTATATAAATGACCTTTCACATGACATGCTTTGAGCTTACCAGAAATTGTACTCGTGATGGTCGGCATGCATTCCCCTTAAGTTTGTCTTAATAGGTTGGGAAGAACGTTTGGTTGAAATTGAGTCTGGTATACCGGGTCATGGTAGTATGTGTTGTACAATGTCGTTACTAACTATGTTCAGGTGGATCGAAATTCACATATGTGATTTTCAGTTTTATCCCAATCCACTTTACCTTGTGGTATGTGTTTGATTTCATATAAATAGGTTGCAAGTTCGATTCTTGGAGTGAGTCATGGAGTGAACGACTTCGTTTCATTCATCAAATTCGCACAACATGCTTTGAGTGTTTTTATTTCATTCATGAGATTGGACTTGCACTTGAAACTTGGAAGTAATGAATGAAAATGAGCTTTCGCACAACATTCTTTGTGCTTACAAAACATTATACCCATGACCGTTCACATACAATCCCATTTATCTCATCTCAATCGGGTCGTTTGGTTAGAGTTCATCCCAACAGAAGTATGTGTTCAACTAACCATGATGAGGAACTGAAATTAACATTTGCAACCTTCAGTTTCATCCCAACTCACTTTGCCTTATGGTATGTATTCTGATTTAAGATCGATAAGTTTCATGTTTGTTTTT